TGTTATACTGTAGGTCTTTGAAATATTTGAAGACCATCTATCTAAATATATGTTCATGACCTTGAAAACATACCTGACCAAAGGTTTGACTTTTATAGATGACTATTAACCTATATTTCTTAATTATACATTACATTTTTAATTGAGCTGCATAAACACAATACCTTAAACAAGAGTAGAAATGTACATACAGCATAACAAAATTTAACTTTAAATTTATATTAATAAACTAAAATCCATATCAAGGTAAAATATCTTGAGATTTAACAGTTTTTTTGGATTAAAGTAGGTTCAATAATCTACCCTTTTATCCTATTTCTATATCATATCCCCCTTTCTTCTTTTAGAAAGAGATTGGCTGTGACTAATAACCATTTGTAACCGTGGGAATCTGCCGTGTTCCAGCTCCAGCCCACACGCTGCAGCCGGGGTACACATCTGTGTACAGTGGCCTGCATAAGAGACATGAACTGTGAAGCTGCTCTTGGCTCTGTTTTTGTGTATCTAGAACCTTATCTTTTTTAAAGCTTTCTCAGGCTTTATGTGGATGTATGTGCCCCACGTTGGGAACCATATGTAAATGGAGGCAGAGTTTTCTGTCCCAACCACCTGCTCCCAAGTACCCAGCAGCCATTTCCCAAATTATCACATAGAGGCTTATATTGATTATAAAATGCTTGGCCATTAGCTCAGGCTTATTATTAACTAACTCTTACATTTAAATTAATCCATTTCTATTAGCCTATGTATTGCCATGTGGTCTATGACTTTACCAGTCCTCTGGCATCTTGTTTCTTGGGTGGCTGGCTCCATTCTGCCCTTCTTTTTGTTTGTTTGTTTGTTTTTGTTTTTGTTTTGTTTTGTTTTTCAAAACAGGGTTTCTTTGTCTAGTTTTGGAGCCTTTCCTGGAACTAGTTCTGTAGACCAGGCTGGCCTCAAACTCACAGTGATCTGCCTGGCTCTGCCTCCTGAGTGCTGGGAATAAAGGCTTGTGCCACCACTGCCTTGTGATTCTGCCCTTCTTTATCCCAGTCCTCAGTTTGATTGTCCCACCTAACCTTATCCTGCCTTGCTATAGGCCAAACACCTTTATTATAACCAATGAGAGTAATACACATTCACAGCCCACAGAAGGATCATCCCACAGCAGTTTTCCCTTCCCGTCATGAGCACTTAAGCTTTTATGTGATTTCAGGTATATAGATTATGAAGTAAGTATTCAAACAAAACATTTGCTGATAATAAATTGTGAAAATTTTATATATATATATATATATATATATATATATATATATATGTATTTTCTTTTGAAGGGGGTGGAGGGTTGAGACACGATTCAGACTGGCTGTCCTGGAACTCACTCTGTAGACTGGACTGGCCTCAAACTCATGAAGTCCACCTGCCTCTGCCTTTCAAGTGTTGGGATTAAAGGTGTGTGCCACCACATTCTCCTGAATTTTAATTTTCATGTGTATGAGTATTTTGCCTGTATGTGTATCTGTTCATCACATGTGTGGCTGGTGCCCATGGAGGCCAGAAGAGGGGACTGATCCCTTGCACCTAGAATTACAGAATTACAGATGGCTGTGATCTGTTATGTGTGTGCTGGGAATTGAATTTGGGTCCTCTGGAAGAGCAGTAAGTGCTCCCCTGTACCATTTTCCCAGCACAAAATATTTATTTTAAAATAATCCTTTGGTATACATATAATTTGACCCTTTATGAGAGAAGAAAGTACATTTGCATACTAAACAAATGAATTTCTTGTTTATTTTTACATAAAGAATTAAATCATTAATACTTGCACATTAAATCTTTTAGATTTATTTACATATGTGTATGAGTGTTTTGCCTGCATGCATATATGTGCACCACATGAGTGCCTCATGTTCCAGAGGTCAGCAGAGGGCTTATGATCCCTGGAACTGGAGTTATGAATGGTTGTGAACCACCACATGGGTTCTAGGAATGAAATCGGCGTCTTTAGCAGCAACAAGTGTTCTAAACCGCTAAGCCATCTCTCCAGCCCCTGCGTATTAAATCTTAATCTTTGGTATATGTGGTAGTTTGAACATAACTGGCTCCCATAAGTCTGTAGGGATTGGCACTATTAGGAGGCTGGAGAAGGTGGCCTTGTTGAAGGCAATGTGTCACTGTGGGGGCCGGCTTTGAGGTCTCCTTTGCCCAGGGTTTATTCAGTGTGATACTCAGTCCACTCCCTATTGCCATCTGACCAGGATGTAGCCAGCACCATGTCTGTCTGCACACCACCATGCTCCCTGCCATGATGATAAGGGGCCGAACCTCTGAATTGTAAGCTGCCACCTCAAATGTTTTCCTTCGTTGCTGTGGTCATGGTATCTCATCACAGCAATAAAAACCCGATTAAGACAGTACTTTAGAATACAGAGCATCTTCAACACTTTTTTTTTCTTGTTAGAAACAAAAGTTTTATTGGTGTTGGAAAGAGAAGAATAGTAACTGTTTCTTATAAAGTCTATGAAAATCACAAGGTACCTGGGGCTGGAGGGGTGGCTCAGTGGTTAAGAGCAGTCAGTGCTCTTTCTTGCAGAGGACCCAGGTTCGGTTCCCAGCACCCACATGATGGTTTACAACCATTTGTAACTCCAGTTCCAGGGGATCTGGTGCCTTCTCCTGACCTCCACAGGCATCAGGCACAACTGTAGTACTTATACATTTGAGCAAAACCTTTATATAATTAACACACACACACACACACACACACACACACACACACACGTAGTTGCCATAATACTAGTCCTGAGTTTAGATGAACATGGCTTCAAGCAATTCAGATGGCAATGATGTCACTTATGAATTTGTTAGAAATGAGAAACGCAGAGCTAGGGGTATAGCTCAGCTGAAGAGCATATGCCTCGTTTGTACAAGGCCTGTAGTTGAATTCCCAACACCAAAAAAGAAAAAAATGTGGGTACAACTGCATGGGATGGATTCTGTTCCACAGCCTCCTTCAACCAGAGTGACACCACCCAGGGATGAGGAAGTACCTGACACCCCAAACTTTCAACCACTAGATAAGGTGGCCAGATGTCCCTGAGTCTGGCATACACTTGTTTTTGTTTTACAGATACTCCTAGACAATTGTCAGCCAATCAGGGTCCTGAACCCTAAAAATCTCCTCACCCCAACCTCTGCTATGGTAAAAACACCACCCCACCTGAGCTCAGGGCTCTCTGCTCTCATGGCTACGTAAGACAGACAGAGGGACCAAACTCAGAGCTTGAAGAGAATAAAGGCTCTTTGCTTTTACAGGCGGGATTCAGTCTCTGTGGTGGTCTTTTGGGGGTCCCTGTCATATGGGACCATAACACAGAGCATCTCTGGTTGGGCCAAAAAAACTTAGAACACACGCTCCATATGGGGCATGGGCTGAATCGAGGTTTGAGAAGCACCGAGGTGAGGTGAATCTTCCAGTGTAATCTTTGGAACGGCTTTTCCATGAGGACCCCTCACCTTGGACCTTAAGCATACCTTCCTAGTTATAAAGTTACTTTATTCTGTTGTCCTCAGACCATAAGTTGAGATTTACTCCTTGGAATTCCCATCACCACTGTTCCTAGTTAAGTTTCCGGCCATTAACCTTGCAGCTAGGTTTTAACTGATAGGGTTCAGGGTCCTCCAGCAATTGAAGGATAATTTAGTTTTCTGAAAGTGCCTGGTCTATGATTTGCCTCCTTGTTTATGGAGACGGGAGTTCAATGTTCACTTTGAACACTTAGGATCGAGGTGGTTTGTGGGATAAGGAAATCAGGGTTCTGCAGTCGATTGAGTTTCTAGTTGCGGCTGCTTATCTATATGACTTTGGGCAAACTATTCTGCCTCTCTGGACTTCAGTTTATTCCTCCATAAAATAGTGCGCATAATAATACTGATTTCACAGGATGCAGGAGTGAGAGAACCTGTGGGAAATATTCTTGGCAGCCCTTGCTCCGTGACAGAGCTCATTAAAAACCGGTATTTATTTTGTTTATTTTTTGCTTTGCTTTTTTTCCTCTCATGGGGGGAGGGGGGACTTTTTGTCCTATACTGTACTCAAACTGGTCTTCAAACTCATGGCAATTCCCTTGCTTCAGCCACCCAAGTGCCGAGATTACAGTTGTGAAAAAACCACCTCCCCTTCCCCACCATCCTATTCAAAAGGGACTAGGGGGTGGGTGGGTCTCATGTAGCTCAGGTTGGCCTTGAATTTGCTGTGTAAGCAGAGGATGACCTGGAACTCCTAATCCTCCAGCCTCCACACCAGCCAGGTATTGGAATTACAGGCTTGTGACTTAAGGATATTTCGAAGGTAACTTTGAGGCCTACAGCCAAGAAGAAGGGTGGAGACCCGTGGAGGTGCATCCAAGAAGAGATTGGAATTGACCAACGTGCTTGTGGTGGAAGTGAGTGGCAGCTAGAATCCACTAGGATGAATGGCGCCGCCGATTGGCTGGGACCCGGGGACCGTGGGTGAAGATCAGAACTGCATAGCCTGGCTGGCAGCCAGGCGGGATTTGAATCTACTGGACCGGGAGGAATGCTTCCAGAAGGGAGAAACTAGCCTCAAGTAGGGGTGTGGCCGCGGGCGGTGTCAAACCTGCTGCAAAGAGCCGGGGCGGGGCTGCAGGTGAGGGGGCGTGGCCAGCACGGGTGGGCGTGGTCGAGCCGAGGCCAGGCCCCACCTGAGGGCGCCGGGGCTCCGGCGGCGGCGGCGGGGAAGTGGGCGGGAAGGCGAGATGGGCGGGGAGGAGGCCAGGCCTGCGGGAGAGGCGGGCTGGGCGGCTGGGAGGACCCGGGGACGGAAGAGGGTGGCCGTAGGCCGGGCCCCGCCCCGGGGCTGCTTCCCAGCGGGTTCCGTTGGCCGTGGCTGCCGCGGAGGCTGTGGCGGCGGTGGCCGCCGGGCGGGCGTAAGATGGCGACGGCGGCGGCGGGAGCCCTGGGCCTCCTGTGGGGCTGGCTGTGGAGCGAGCGCTTCTGGCTGCCGCAGAACGTGAGCTGGGCCGACCTGGAGGGCCCGGCCGACGGCTACGGCTACCCGCGCGCCCGGCACATGCTGTCGGTGTTCCCGCTGGCCGCGGGGGTCTT